TACACCAAGGTAAAGTATTTTTAACCTCAAAAAGAACGTGGGCATTCATAATGCCCCTCTCCTCTTGTAATTACTTAAGCTCACTCTCTATCTGAAACGGAGCTAATATACAGACAACCCTGTGTGTGTGTGTGCGCCAATGCTAGCTTTCCGCCGTTCTCCACAACCCCGCGTCAGCCGTCGGTGAGCTAACCCTTTCCTGCCCGTGCGAGCTGCTGTCGCCAGCAGGGACGGTGGCCCGCGCCTGGTCGTAGGCGATGCCGAGGTTTCTGAGCCGGTTGAGCTCCGGCAGTATGACGGTGCCGAGGTCCGGTCGGTCCCGCCGCCGCATCTCCGTGCACTTGAGCGAGAGCTTGGCGAACCCCAGCGCGTCCTCGACGGGCCAGTCCTTGACGGTGATGTCCAGCATCTGTGCGAAGGTTCCGGACTCGATGGCCTTCTCGACGTGATGCGTCAGCCCCATGGGCGGCCGCGCGGTGATCACCTGCAGCAGCAGCACGCCCAGAGAATAGATGTCCGACTTGACGCCCAGCTTGCCCGTTTGCTGGTACTCCGGGTCAATGTAGCAGAAGGTGCCCGCCGTGGCAGTCAGCCGGTACTGCGTGACGCTGTCCGCCACCGCCGGTGGCACGAGGCGCGCCAGCCCGACGTCGCTGATCTTGCTCACGTAGTTGCGGTCCAGCAGGATGTTGGCCGGCTTGAGGTCTCGGTGCACCAGCGGCTCCGGCTTGGTCTGGTGAAGGAACAGCAGAGCCGTCGCGATCTCAGCCGAGATCCTGAAGCGCTGGCTCCACGGGAGCGTCGGCGTGCCGCCGCGGCGGTACAGGCGGTCCTCGAGGCTGCCGTTCTCCATGTACTCGTAGACGAGGCAGCCGTACTCCGGGCAGGCACCGAGGAGCAAGACCATGTTGGGGTGGCGGATGCAGCTGAGCACCTCCACCTCCTGCTGGAACTGCTTCCGGCCCTGCTGGGCGTCCGGGCGGAGCACCTTGACGGCGACCGGAGTGTGATCGAGGCTGGCGCTGTAGACGGGGCCGTAGCCGCCTTCCCCGATCTTGAGACTGTCGGAGAAGCCCTCGGTGGCGATCTCGATCTCGTCGATGCTGTACTTGCGGTAGCGGAAGTCGTGGTTGGCGATGGCGTCGAGGGCGCGCACCTTCTCGTCGGCCTCCCGGCGCGCGCGCACCTCGGCGTTGCGGCGACGCTGTGCCTCGAGGTCGGCGAGACGCTGCGCGGCCTCGGCAGCCTCCATGGCGGCCCGGCACTTGACCTTCTCCATCTCGGCCAGCGCCAATGCGGCCTCCTCCGACTGACGGGCCTCCTCCAGGCGCCGCGCCTCCTCCATCTTGAGCAGGTGCATCTCCTTGGCCCTCTGCTTGGCGTTGATGGCCTCCTTGCATGCTGCGTTGTACATGTCCATGGTCTGCTTCAGCTCCAGCTTGAGCCGCCTCATCTCCACCTCCACCTCGCGCTGGGCCTTGCACACGTACCAACAAAGCTAAACCCATGCATCGATGGATGGGAAGGAAGGAAACAGCAAGCAAGCAAGCAGGAAGGTAGGAGGAACTCACGGCGGAGAGGGGCGAGCCGGACTCCCGGGGGCTGAGGGGGAGCGCGTCCATGTTCTCGCCAAAGTCCATGGAGGAGAAATGCTCGGCCTGTGCGAAGTCGGGGTCGAGGCTGGATGGGTCGTGGGAGTTGGAGCGCAGCGTGGTGCTGTCGATCCTTCCCGACAGAAGGAGGGGCTGCTTGGTCGCGGACGCCTGCAGGGGGCGCTCGCGGAACGGCGGGCGCGTGGTGAGCTCGGGCCTGTCGATGGAGCGCCTGCTGGAGGACAAAAAGTCGGGCAAGACCGGCGGCAGCTGGCTCCTGGAGCTCCTCCTGGAGTAGGTGGCGAGGAGGAAGTCGCTGTCGTCGGCCGGCACGCCGCACTTGGCGAGCCTGACGTTGACGGGCTTGCCCTTGGCGACCACGTAGATGTTGCAGTAGTCGGGCGCGCCCTTCATGAGGCTGGAGGGCACGTCGGGGTTCTTCCACTTCTTGGTGAATGCGTTCCTGTTGGACGCGCCCAGCGCGATGCTCTGGATCTTGTTGGCGGTGATGTAGTCTATGATGGCCTTGGGGACGTCTGCCTCTTCCAGTATCACCTCCGATTCTTGCACCTGCAGGCAGTACGCTCCTTCAGCAACCTACTCCTATATATGCATGCTACGCCCTCGCTACGTGCTTGATGAGTGAGTGAGTGATGCATGCATGCGTGCATGGCTTACCCCATTCCTAGAGCAGAATCCTCTGAAGGGGACAAAGATCTCCATCATTTCAGCCTCCAGCGCGTCCTGCGTCGTCTCAGCCATGGCAAATCCATCTGCGCAACACACCATCGCTACGTTGTTGCACTAGCTTTATGGGAGAAATCATCAAGAATCATGTGGCGGAAGAAAGTTACGACGTACGGTTGGCTGCAGGAGGGTGGGCCGCCACGTGGAGGAGAATGATATGGGAGGCGCCGGAGAGGAGGTGGTCCACCACCCATTTCATGGCCAGTTGGCTGTTGCGGTCCCGGTCGATGGCAACCACGATGGTCGACGCCGGCTGGTGCAGGCTCGGCGGCGAGGTCAGCCGGTGCTCATCGGGGCTCAGGGGGCTTCCCTGCATCATCGGTTCCACCGGGAATGGATGCCGGCGATGCTCCGATCACTTGGATGGATGTCAAATGTTGCAACAAGAGAAAGAGAAAGGAGAGGCAGAGAGGTTGAGGGAACGACGGAAGCGTCCCTTCTCCTCTTCCTCCTGCTCCCTTCCTTCCTTGCCTACAAAGATCCTCCCCGTGCATGCCGCCGTTAAATGACCTAGGGAGGGAGGGGGTACCAGATTAGACCACCACTCTTGGCTATTCTTGCACGCTCCCTCTTTTGGCTCCCGGAGAAGCTTGACCCAGACCAAACCTAAAATTAAACCATGGCCACTTCAACTATACAAAGATCCACGCTTTACTCCACTACTAGGCATAGGCAGAGGCAACACATGGCACGGCAGGTGACATCCTCCAACATCTCTAACTATGTTATGTACAACTACAAAACTGTACACTTTCTAGATTTCTCGCAGGCTAGTCAAATGAATGGTTTTACAAGGTCAGGTAGGTCCTGATCATTGCCGAACCAGTCGGGTCCGAGAGGAGGTGTCTGACGAGGTTCATTCGCAGAGTGTTTGGCGCAATTGCAAACATGTAGAGTGCAAACAGCATGAGATCCACCGACGAAAGCGTCGAACCAAGGAATCCTTGCCACATCCTGTTCAAGAGATCGATCCATCAAAAGTCACGCGCAAGGAAATATTTACTTGTTCAAACTTTTTTCTATCAATGGGAAGATACACATCCTTGCGTACTCGCGAAAAAAGGAAATACTTAGTCCGGGACCTGAAAACAAGCAATAAATGCATCGAGCGGGTGTAATTACCATTTGGGTAACCGGAAAAAGGTTTCAAAGAATGTTTGGATGCCTTTGTTATCCAGTTGAATTATCAAGGCCAATCCAAAGAGGAAGAATGAGCGCTGACGTTTCCGTTCTTGAGGCCATAGTGTTCCCCATGCTGAAATATCAGACAGTGGTTAGCAGCAGACACTTGTGCTCATTTCTCCTATTCTGCAAAACATCTTTAAGTGATTTTATTCTATCTGTTGAATTTAGTGAACAAGGGAAGAAATCTGTACCAAGCATTGATGGACTGGACATTTCAGAACTTCCAGGCAAATATTGTCCAGAATAGACACGATTTCGTAAGATATCAGATATCACAGAAGCATATCTTGGAGCTTCAGACAAAGATCTGACCACTGAATATCCTATGAATTTTCTAAAATATTGTCAATATGCATGTCAAATAATAAAGAATGACGAGTTCAAGTTGAGGATTTGTATGTACCAGTTGCAGGATGGACCATACTCGCTGCAGCACCAAATGCAAGATTCTTCTGGTCTGTGTTAGGTAAGGATCCTCCAACAGGAATATAAGACCACTCCTGAAATCAAGACTCAACAGAAATTCAGCACACCTGTGCAAGATAAATCAGTATGGATATCAACTCCAAACTCGTTACCTCCTCGTATACTTTTACGATACGAACTCCCATCGCATCCAACCGAGACATCAACCTCTTCTTAAGGAGATCAAAAGGCATTGCATCTTTTGAAGCTAAGCATGTTTCCTGTGATAAATTATCTTGGTCAGTGACCCATCGTTATGGAAACGTGTCCATTGCAGAAGCACACTGCTAAAAAAATTCATGTAGACCTCAAAGAAAACTCGTGTGGATGACATGGCCATGGCATAGAGAAATGTTGGATTGGCTTCCTCAGGGTGTGAGAACTTCTCTTTGAAACAATCTCTGTAGTCCATGAAAACCATTAAGCTGGGGTTGTACGGATATCTTTCAACCTGAAATTTTGACATCATTCTGAAAAATTGAACTGGGGCACAAACCACGTATGAATTTCTCAGCTCGAGTGACATGAATGAAGTGACATATGCAAATCATGAAATAAACCACGAATCAGAAGGAGCACTTTGTGCAGGGTTGCTGTGTACCTCGACTTCTACACCATATGCAGTCTGCACACAAACACGTGGTCCTCCAACCTCATACTCTAGAAGCTTACCAGATGCTGCTCCAGATGCAACAATGGCAAGCCTGCAAAGTATCTTGCGGTCCCTTTCACAATATACTACTCGATGTCCATCTGGAGATTCTATTATCTGTTCAACCTTTGAGTTGAGGTATGTAACACCAGCATCGTTGCATCTGCCAATTATTTAATTATTGTTACTAGGAACAGTCATATATATCATGCTGCCTGATGCAACTGAATTCCAAGATCGTTACAATAGAATGTCTACCTTCTCAGCAACTCCTCGTGCAGCAAGTCTCGGTCCACCCGGCCATATGCTCGGCCAATCATTATCGGCTTGTTACGGTCTAGGTACACGACAGTATCCTTCCATACATGCTCAATACAGCTCTCCAGGCCGAGATCTGGGAAATAAAAAGATAAAAACGTATTACTTTTTAAGATAATGCTGGTAAAGGTGTTATCCAAGCATGCTGCTACATTTCACAGTGGTGAATAATGGCTACCTTTGAATTCGTCCTCCCATACACCGTAATTGTTTGTGAATGGAAGATCAGGGCCAATGAGACCAACAGTGAGTCCTTTATTTGCTGATTCTGCAGCCAGAGATAGGCCGGCTGGACCACAGCCAATGATAACCAAATCAAGCACTGAAGTTTCATCAGCTATAGGCAACAGCTGCAAAGAAAGATTCAGAAGACATAATCAACTACTTGAAGGATGCTACCAGACAAAAAATTGTTAACACAATGACGATGAACTTCGAAACTTAATTATTAACCTTGAAGAAAAAGAACTATACAGAGTATCAATAAAAGAAGGATTGAAACATTCTTAATGCCCGGTCTAGTTATTTGCTGTCTGTGCAAACAGTTCAATTAAAATTCGTTAGAACCAGACTGGGAGCTTGTTTCCTAGTAATAACTATTAAGCACATGCAACAAAGTCAAACCAACATGAAGGTAAAATTAGGACGTTCGTAACCCACTAAGATCCGGCGCCTTGCTACGTAGGAATTATTGAATGATATACTTAGTGAAAGGGCGTTTCCAAAGAAAGCAAGCCAAAGGCATGACACTGGGATAATAGAATGGACATCCGAATCAACAAATTCAACATCACGGATTGTATACATGTTATCATTTTCCTAAGGTGTAATTAATGAACGCACAACCAAAGACATTTCCCTAAGGAGCAATTAATTAACGCAAGACCAAATACATTGTGTACTCTTCTCCTGCCAGGAAGGCAGGAATGACAAGCATGGGCGACCCAAGACTATTCCTGCTTTGATTTGTCAAAAATGAGCAACGCCGTGGTAGTACTAGCATGACGTGCATTTGAATGCCACTTGCGTTCTACTCCCTCTATATCCAAATATAAGACGCCTTTGGATGGAAGCGGATTTGTAGCACCCAGTTGCTCTACACCCCTACACGAACATTAAATTCAAAAAAATACCGAAAAATTTGAAAAAAAAATCTGAGATTTTGGGATATCAAACCTGGATTCCTGATCTACTCCCGTGTGAAATTTCGTGAAAAAATTCCAAGAAACTTATTCATGGCAAAAAAGACAAAAATTTCCTATGTACAGAAAAAACTGTTTGGATGGATTTTTGTTCGGACAGTATTTTCTTCGGCACAGACACATTTGTTGGTATTTTTTCACAAAAAATCACATAGGAGTAGATTGAGAACCCAGGTTTAATATATCCCCAAATTTCTGATTTTTTAATTCTTTTGGTAATTTTTACGTTTAATATTCGTATAGAGGTGTGAAGCACCCAGGAGCTCCTGTGTATTTTCTGCCTTTGGACACTATGGTAGTGTCAAAAACCAGTTTATATTTTGATATGGAGGGAGTAGTATAGTATGTAGATGAGACGCTGCAATAGTACCCTGACTAATTTTTGCTACTGTGGTGTTTATGGGAATACTTTATCTTTCAAACAGTCTAATGTTACTACATCACAAGAAAGAAACAGACTAATGTTAGGGATTTTAGTTTTATAGGCCATAACGCTGGAAGTTCACACAACGCTAATTGTGGGTAAGAATCACTTAAGTAGTGGAGTAGTATATTCAAGATCAACAAAGCATGCATAGAAATCAGCAATTAAATAAGGGAATAAAACAAAGAACAAGATACTAGTAGCAGTAGCCGTAGCAGTACAGAAAAGGATAGAGAGAGAACCTTGGAGGCGATCTTGGACTGGCTTTCCATGGCCTTGGTGGCCTGCATTTGCACGTAGAGCAGCTCGCCGCCGCCGCCCTTGACGTAGTCCTCGTCGTCGGCGAACTCCAGCCCCGGCGCCGCCTTCTCGTCGGGCTTCTCCGTGGCCACGCAGCTCGCCTTCAAGCTCCTCCACTGCTCCGGCCCGGGGCCCGAACCCACACGCCTTCTCCTGGCATCGGCCGCCCGGAGAGGCCGCTGCCCGGCCCAGCGCAACGCGCGGCAGCCGAACGGCGCCGAGATGGCGGCGCCGGTGGACTCCATTGCCCTCGCGGCGGCGCGAGTTGCGGGAATTGCGAGCTGGCTGGCTGGCCGGAAGGGAGGGAGGCGGAGAGGCTAGCTGCCTAGGGAGGAGCGGAGGAGGAGGCGTTGTGGAGGGAGAGGTTTTGGAGAGGGTATCCGGGATATGGCACGTGGCAGACGGCGATTAGGCGCGGCCACATGGAACACGGATATGGTTTCGCTTTTGGGGAGGTGCCGCGGGCGTGACTCCTCCCGAGACGAGACGAGACGAGCGAGAGCCTCGTCGCCTCCGTGTCTGCCTCCTCGTGTCACACTGTGTGTAGGCCGGATGGTTCTGGGCTGGCCTGGGCTGCGGAGGAGATGAGCTTTTTGAGATGAGCTTTGGAACATTCCGCTTAGTAACCAGTGAGCCAGAGAAACGCAGTAGTAGATCGGTGCCACGTAACTGAGCGGTTGTCCGCATGACGCTCACGGCAGAGCAATGCACACGTATTCAAACATTCAGCTTTACAAATAAAGCTCACACCAGTTCAAACTCCACACAAAATGCACCCCTTGGTGTTCGCTTATTAGTTTGTCTACCTGCAAGGCCACCGGACAACAACCCAGCCATCTGAAATGCGCCCGCTAGTCGACTCAAACGGCCGGCCACGGACCGCCAAGTGTTACCTGGTCGGTCCCCAGCCCCCCTTCCCCCACGCGCGTGAGGCCCGTGCACCTGGTCCGGTAAGAGCATGGTTAATAGTATAGCCAACTGCTGGCTATAAGCCATTGCCATGTCATCTATAGCCCATCTTATAGTCAATATGTACAATAGTTGATTAGAAGAGTGTACTACTTTTTTATTATATGGCTCACCTTTCACTCTCACAAAGTGCCTAGGAGCACGTGCTAGAGCTGGCTCTTCACCAAGAGCCCGCTTCCCTTCTCTCTCTTCTTCTCTTTCCTCCAACTAAGCAAAAATATACTAGTTTATTTCTTATAGCCAGCTGACTCAGCTCTATTGTACTTGCTCTAAGTCGCGTTGCGCGGTGCGTAATTTTTCTGGTGGACCCCTTTTATCATAGACACTGTAGCGGCGGTCAATGATGAACAGAGACAGAGTAGTGGTGGTGTGTGTGTGGGGGGGGGGGTGCGCCGTTTTGAATTTCGTGCCAGTCCCCTCTACTCTCCCACGTCTCCATTTCTTCCTTCTCTCCCGCATCTGGCTCCCCATTTTCCCCTCCGCGCGCGATTCACCTAGGCTCGCCATTGCAACCTCCGCTGAAGCTTGCGCAGGAAGGCAGAGGCGTAGCGGGGACGCATCCGCTACTCGTCGCTGGCTCAGGTACAGTCGCCAGCCGCCCTAGCAGCTCACCCCCCTCGTCGGTTTCCCTGCAGCTGTAGCGGTTTTTGCTCCTTCCTAGTGCTCGTCGACGGGGAAGCGACGATTCCCGCAGTGACATTGAGAGGCGTCGGGATGTTGCGGTTGTTTTTGGAGATGCAGTGTAGCGCGCCCGTGAGATTCCGTGTGATTTTGCGATGATTTTGTCATGCGATTTTGGCGTTTAGATCCCGTTTTCAGGTAGGCGCATCCAGATCACGCACGTATGTCAAGTGATTTTCTAGGTTGATTTTGCCAAACCTAGGCTACCATGTGACTTAGGTTGATTTTCTAGGTTCGCCCAAACCCTAGTTATTATTGCAACTTGAGTTGGTAGATAAATCAGTACTGTCGGATGTGGGGTTCCGGCAAACCCTTAAGGTTCGAACACTGGGGTGCGCGCGAAGTCTTTTCCTCCCACCGATCTACGCCCTAGCTCGCTAAGATCTCGCGGACGAACTCGACGAACTCGCAACACAGAAAGACACAAGATTTATACTGGTTCGGGCCACCGTTGTGGTGTAATACCCTACTCCAGTGTGGTGGTGGTGTATTGCCTCTTGGGCTGATGATGAACAATACAGTGGGAAGAACAGCCTCCTGAGGTTGAGGTGTTCTTGTGTCTGGCTAACTTGTGTGGTTCTGGATGACCTTCAGACTCTCTCTCTCTCTCGCTCTCTTTATCTGTCGTCTCTTTTCGTCCCCTTCTCTATGCTGGTGGCTAACTCTATTTATAGAGGCCCTGGTCCTCTTCCCAAATATTGAGCGGGAAGGAAGCAAACAATGGCGGGCTAATTTGAAGGGAGACAACTAGTACAAGCCATCCTGACAAAAGTGGTCTTCGCCTGCCAAAGGCTCTGGTGGTGACGCCGTCTTGGGCTCCACGATGACCTCCGTCTTGCCGTCCTTCTGGTCTTGGTCTTGTTGCACCGATATGGCAACCTTTTGCCTGATGCCTCGGTACTCCTCGCCCGCGCAGGCCTCCTTAGCACCAAAGAGGAAACAAGGACGCTGCGCGCGCTGGCGCCCGCCTGGTGTCGATCGTCATGGCTCACGTCACGAGGGCCTCGTGAGGTTTGCCTTGCCTTGATATCTCCGCTCGTCGTGAGCCTGCCCGACTGGGCCACTCCAGAGGAGGTCTTGTGTCATCCCCCTCGCGAGGCTTGGCCCCTTGCGAGGGTCTTGGATGCCTTGTTGATGAAGATGGGCCGTACTACCTGCTGGCTTAGCCACGCCGCGGGCCGCAGGCAGGAAAGTCTGGGGACCCCTGTTCCCAGAACGCCGACAGTGGCCCCCGGGCCCAAGGTGTGCTCGGGCTTGGCTTCGCGGCAAAGCCAAGGGTCAAGTACGGAGCACCGCGGGCCCACAAAAGCCTGCGGCCTCGGTTGACTCGTGGCGGTTGATTGGACGTGGGCGTCTCCGCTTCCCCATGCTGCCTCGGCAGCTGCACGACTTGACGAGTCCCTACGACATGCAAGCAAAACCATCATTACATCCGATCGTGAGAGGTGCCGGTTGGCCTTCTCTTACTATAAATGGGGAGGGGGGTTGAGCCCCCGTTGCCCATCTCTTCCTTGCTCGCTTGCTTCTTCTTCCTCGCTCCATTGCTTGCTGTGCCACCAATGGCGCCACGAAGGAAGTTCTCCGCCGCCGAGAAGGGAAAGGCCCTCGCGAGGGACCCGGCTCGCCGGCGCCCAAGCGCGGACGTGGCCGTCCGCGCAAGCACGTCGCGTCCCCTGTTGCGGCCCACTGTCGGAGCGGCGCAACACGCGGAGGGGGGCGTTCCAGCCGTGGCGATCAAGTTGACGAGGGGAGGCGTGCTTTGGTGGCATGGCTCCCCCGTCCGTGCTTCCACACAGTGGAAGTGTCGCCGGAGTTTGTCGTCTGGTCAGAGAATTCGGCCGGCAACTGGCTCCAACTTCCGCGCTTCTTCGCCGACGAGCTGCCGGCCTCTGGTCCAGGCGGACTCTGGCTGCAGGCGGATGGTTGCTGCAGCAAGGCCTCTTGGGTTGAAGTCGCGACTTCTGCCGTGGGCAACATAGCCCTGGCCCGCGGTTGGCAGACGTTCGCCCGCGCACGCGGCTTGGGCCGGCGGTGCGCCCTCCACTTCAAGTACGATGGCGAATCAACCCTCTATGTGAGGATGTTTGGGGAAGATGGTCGCCACGCCGGGTGCTGCCTCGAGGCGAACGATGGCGAGGAGGTGCTTGGTCTCGGGGACGGTCGCGACGAGGATGAGGGCGAGCCCGCCCTCGGGGGCGGCCGTGCCTTGTCCAGCTACGGCGGCTCCTCCTCCGGCGATAGCTCCAGCAGTGGTGACTACGGCCAGCCGCCGCACCCGCATTGAAGGCGGCAGTGGGTCATCTCGTCGCCGCGCCTCCGTGAAGCGCGAAGAAGGATCCGGCTAAGCTCGGGGTGCCGCTAGGGGTCTGCCTCCGCAGATTGCTGCAACGCTACTTTTGTTTTACTCTTTTTCCTGCATCAAGAATGTAACCGGTTTGGGGCCCAGGGGGGCGTGCATCGAACTATGGTTCCTCGGTTGTGGCACCGTGCGTGTTGTGTCGTTATTTCGTCAAAGATAACTTAACCTGGTATATCCGAAACGCCCTCTTCCTCACGAGGCGCTCATTTCCTCGTGTCCATCTTGCCTCGGTGGCTTGCATTTGCTCAGGAACTGCAAAAGCTTGTTAGGAAGTGCGTTAAAAGATTTGCCGTTCGCCCTGGCCCTGACCTGGCGCCTTGTATCGAGGTACCCAAGGGGCACGGACTAGGAGAGGCACGCCAACTTTTAGGCTCGAACGAGGGTGGCTCGCGAGAAGGCAGAGAAGGGAGAAAAATGCTCGTGAGGGCGTCTGCCCAGCCCCCTCGCGAGGCATGCGAGAGAGAGAACACGAGCTAACCCGAGCTGGAAAAATGCAGCGAGAGGTGAGGGGGTCAAATCAGCAAGGAATGCCAAAAGCAAATTTCGATTAAGGAAAAGGGAGCCAAATGCGGAAAGCAAATGAAAAGCCACGTCCGACACATAATCTAGTCTTCAAGTCTTCTCACCAGCGCGGAGCTAAGTGCTGCCACTAGGCATGGGCAGGAGCCCCAGGGGCTGAGGCCAGCACTCCTGAGACTCCGGGGCGTGTACAGCCCCAACTCATTATTACGTGAGAGTGTCATGGGCGGCGATTCTTCACAGGCACCGGGCCTTCTTCACAGGCTTTGGGCCTTACTTCACAGGCTCTGGGCCTTGCTTCATAGGCTCTGGGCCTTGCTTCATGGGTAAAACTTCCGGAGGTGCTGGATGTTCCAGGCGTTTTGGACTGGTACTCCGTCTTGTGTCTCCAAGCGCACGACGCTAGGCCTGGAGATGTGGACGACCTTGAACGGGCCCTCCCACATTGGTGAAAGCTTATGT